ACATGAATTTCAATAAAAAATAATGTAGTGTAACATTAATATAATATTTTTCTTTAAGGCTTGTGGATTTTTCTCTTTGTTTATTTAATTATTTTTTTCAGTGCTGTGTTTGAGCCGCACCCCCAGCCCCAGGATAGGTGTTTTTTGTGTTTTTAACATATCCTTCACCGCAGAATGATGAAGGCATTTTCCTATATTATCTTGCAAACATTTTTCAGTAGTGCTTTTCTCACTTAGGCCTTTAATCCACCTGGAATTTATGTGTGTATGAGTGTGTGTTTGTGTGTTGGGGGAGGAGGAGGCGAGAGAAAGAGAGAGAGGGAAAAGATAGGGGTGGTCATTTTTATTTTAGTTTTCTACTGGTTTGGCAAATATCTCAGGCTCATTTTTGGAGTATTCTCCTCTGTCACATAACAACTTTCCTAATATGCGTGGGTCTATTTTGAGGCTTATCAATTTTCATCTTATGTCCTTTTTTTTGATGATGCTGGGGATTGAACCCAGGGCCTTGTGCGTGCAAGGCAAGCACTCTACCAACTGAGCTACACCCCAGCCTCAACCTATGTCTTATGGCTTTCTAGTAGGTCTTGATGTCTGGGCGTTAAGTTCACCTTATATTATGGTTTGGAGACAAGGTGTCCCCGCAAAGTTCCTGTTAATGCAGGACTATTCAGAGTGAATGGATTGGGTTGTGATAGCTGTAACCTAATCAGTCCATCCACGTTGGAATGAACACAAAAGGTGGTGACTTTGGCAGGTAGGGTGTGGCTGGAAGAGGTGGGTGCCTGAGGGCGGCCCTGGAAGGGTCCATCTTTCCTGCAGCCCCTTCCCTTTGCCCTCTGCTTCCTGGCTGCTCTGAATGGAGCCAGGCTCCTCCACCAACCCTTCCGCCATGATGATCTGCCCCACTTCGGGCCCAGAGCAATGAACTCTGCCCACGTGGACAGAGCCTCTGAAACTGTGAGCCCCAAATAAACTTCTCCTCCTTCAGGTTGTTCTTGTCAGATATTTGGGTCACAGCAATGAAAATGTGATTCCCACACTCTACCTTGTCCGTTTCTTCCAGGTCGACTTTCCTGTGCCTGGTCTTTGGTTCGTTCATGTAATTTTAGGATCAGTTTATCATATTTCAACTCCTATTCTTTCCTATTTTAATTGAATTGCATCCAAGAGAATCTTCATCTTTACCATATTGATTCTTTTTACCCTTGCACACGACAAATAAATCCTTCCCTTTCTTAAGGGTTTTTTTTTTTTTTTTTTCCAGTGCTAGGGATTGAACCCAGGATCCTGGGTATGGGAAGTACAGGTTCTACCACTGAGCTGCACCCCCAGCCCCCATTTCTTGTTTCAGTTCTTTTTTTTTTTAATGTTACTTAACAGTGCAACATAAAACGACTTAATCAATTGTCCCAGTGACACAAAATAACGATTTTCTTCTCAATGTTTTATTTTGCTATCATGATTATATTTTTAGTTTAATTAATAACGTTGTAGAGGGCTGGGGCTGGGGCTTAGCGGTAGAGCGCTCACCTAGCATGTGTGAGTCTCTGGGTTCGATCCTCAGCACCACATAAAAAATAAATAAATAAATAAATAAGGGTATTGTGTCCAACTACAACTAAAAAAAATAAATATTTTTTAAAAAATAATGTTGTAAGGAAATACTACTATTTTTAATGTTTATCTTGTTTCCAAAACCTTGCTCTTATTCATTTTTATCAGCCTCTCTGTGGATTTGCTTGCATTTTTATGTAGGAAAATACACTGTCTGGAAAAGAAAGTTTTGTTTCACATTTCAATTCTTATTCCTCATTTATTTTTTTTCTTTTCTAATGAGGCCCAGAAATGGGAATAGCAGGCATATTTTTTCGTTCCCAACTTTAATGGGGATGCAACTGGAAGTTCAGCTGTAAAGGTAATATTTGCTGTATTTTATAGTTTTTCTCTGGAAAGTTGAGGAAATGTACTCCTATTCTTAAAATACAGACATATGTGACTGCTAATTTCTTAAAAAGCCTTTTCTGTATTCATTGAAATAACCAAATAACTTTATCCATATTTATTAAAATGAAATATCTATAGATTTTCTGACATTGGGCCATATTCCAGTTTGAGAACCAATCCCATTTGTGTCTCTGTGTGTGTGTGTGTGTGTGTGTTTCAGCACTGGAAATTGCACCCATTGCCTTACACAGGTGAAGCAAGCACTCTACCATTGAGCTATATTCCCAGTCCTGATGTGTTTTCATTTTTATCTAGTTTGGTATTAAGATCATATTATCCCCATGAAATGAGCTCTAAAGTGATTTTTATAAAATAAGGATCTGGGTCTATTTGGGTCTGTTGCTTTTGTAGGACTAGGGAGGGAAATAAACTTGTATAGTAATTCAGTTTTGGTAATGGTTATTGATTTTCTTTTTATTTCTTAAATATATTTTGATAGTTTTTTTTTTTTTTGAAAAAAGAGAACGTTACTCATGTCAATTGAGTTTTAAACATCTTGCTGTGTGCTGTATTTTGTCTCATTTTGTTAATTTATATTTGACACAGGGTCTCTCCATGTTGCCTAGGTTGGACTTGAACTCATGATCCTCCAGCCTCAGCCCCCAAGTAGCTGGGAAGATAGGAGTGGGCCAGTGCACTCAGCTTCCATTCTCAATACTACTCATGAGTATCTATTTTTTTTTTTTTTTTTGGTACCAGGGATTGAACCCAGGGGCACTCAACCACTGAACCACACCCCCAGCCCTATTTTGAATTTTATTTAGAGGCAGGATCTCACTGAGTTGCTTAATGACTCATGGGGCTGGCTTTGAACTTGGGATCCTCTTGCCTCTGTCTGTCTCCTGAGCTGCTGGGGTTACAGGCGTGCACCATGGCACCTGGCTACCAGTATCTATTTTAAAGTCAGTCTTGGGAGGGTTTTCAACGGAAGAAATCAGCTTTTGATCTTGTCGATTTTCTTCATTGCTCCTTGGTTTTCTATTCCCTTAATCTATTCTCTTCTCATCACTTACTTTTTCTTACTTAGGTTTCATCTGTTCTTCTTAAATGCGGTCTTTTGAGTCGAAAACTTAACCCATTTTAGTTTTCCATGTTTAAAACCATTTTAGTCTCACCTCTTTTTAAGGAATGCGTTGGTTAGTCATATGCCTCTGACTGTAACAAAATATCCGAGACAAGAAGTGTATCAAGAGAAAAGGTTTATTTCTGGGTCAGAGTTTCAGAGGTTCCAATCTTTGATTGGTTGACCTCATTGCTTGGGGCCTGTGACCAGGCAGCGCCTCATGGCGAGAGGTATGTGTTAGAGCAAAGCTTGTCATTTCATGCCTGGGACTCAAAAATAGAGGAAGAGGAAGGAGTTGGGGTCCTACTGTCCCCTTCAAGAGCATGTTCCCACTAGGCCAGCCTCTTAGTTTCCAGCACCTTCTAATAGCACCAAGCTGGGCACTCCACGCCTTTAACACAAGGGCCTTTGCGGAACATTCCAGATCCAAGCTATAGCAGCATTTAAAGCTGTCTATTTATTTACATCAACATTTATAAGTTTTGAAATTAGACACCATGATCTCCTTGTACCTGTAGTCCCAGCTACTCAGGAGGCCAAGACAGGAGCCCAGAAGTCCCAAGCCAGCTGGGGCAAAATAGCAAGACCCCATTCCTAGAAAAAAAAAACTTATAAATTTTGGCATATGATACTCTCATTGTTATTCAGATCTAAATATTTTATGATTTTCTATGTTATTTTCTTTTTTCTCCCTTGAGCGATTTAGAAGTTCATTATCGATAATAACATTTTAAGTAGCTAAGTCATTTTCTTAAAGGACTGGGCCATTTCACACTTCCACAAGCCATATGGATACCAGAATTTGTCCCAGATGACATGTCTAAATAACAACATAGACCAGCAACCCATGTCCTGATACAAAACATCCTAACTGCAGTCTAGGAAGTCAGTTTAATGATGAAGAGGTTAAATCTGGATTCAAATAATCCAGATTCATGGGCTGACGATGCCACTCAGTAAGTGTGGGAATTTGGTCAAATAATCTCTGTGCATCTCAAGTTCCCCCCTATGCAAAACAAGGCTGGCAGAATGCTGTCTCTTTCACAGAGTTATTGGGAAGTGCTTTGCACCCAGGTGCCATTCAGCAAACAGTACTGATTTTTATCAATCCAGCTTTGACTTTATATTTTCTTTTAAATTTATTTTAGATGTTAATGGACCTTTATTTTATTCATTTATATTTTATTCATTATATTTTTTTATATTCATTTATTATTTGTATGTGGTGCTGAGAATGGAACCCAGTGCCTCACACACACTAGGCAAGCGCTCTGCCACTGAACCCCAGCCCCAGCCTCTTACTTTTTATTTTCGACGCTGCCATGTTTTGTCAGTAAACCCACCTGCGGGTGTCTGGCAAGTAAAGACCCTGATTCCAAACAGCTTCCTTGTCCTGTGACCAAAATGTTCCCATCTATTTCTCTTTCAAGTCCATGCAAATACAGACACAGGAATGAGGAGTCAACACAAGCATCCATGTCCCATCTCATATTCAAAGTATGCACACGGATGCAAAAACCCAGAGATTTCCCCGAAGACCCACAGAACACACAGATCTGGGTCCACACTCACGCTTGTCCATACTCCCTACAAAGATGGATCCATCGCCCACAGATAGAGACGGGCTCACCAATCCCACTCAAAACCTAGCATCCCACTGACAGATCGCATACCACCCACAGTGCCAGACCCATGCAGCGCAACACCACCCTCTCCAGAATGATCAGGAGCCTCGTTCTTACTTCTTTGGGGTTGGTTTTATTTTTTTGTTGTTCTTCTTAGAGTTTATCATCTGTCCCTCTTTCTCCCTACCCTGCCCCCAAGCTTTCCCCCTAAACCTCCATTGCGCATGTGCTCTGCATCCCTCCCCCCTCCTGGGTACCAGTCGGCGCTCCCGGGCGCTGGCGGCGGAAGAGATGGAGCCGCGTCACGAGCGCCCGGCCCCTTAAAACGCTGCTGGCTGGAGCCGCCTCCCTCCCTGCAACCCGCGGCGGGGATGGAGTAAAGGGGGACCCGTCGACCTGCCCGCGGGGATCAGCGATGGAGTTAAAGCAATCTTTATCCACCCATCTGGAAGCTGAAAAGCCTCTGAGGCGCTATGGGGCGGTGGAGGAGACAGCATGGAAAGCGGAGGGACTGGGGAGAAGTGAGTAATAGGGCAGGGGTGCTGGGGATCCGAGAGCTGGAGCCCGGGGTCGCAGGAGCGGGTGGCGTGCCAGCAGCTGACCCAGGGACGCGCCCCCCGGGAGGCACCCCCCGCAGCCCGGCTTTCAGCGCAGAGGGATGCGCAGCGCCGCGCCGCGCTCTCCGGGTGAACAAAAGGGGGGATCCTTCAGACTGGGCTTCACCGGGAGGCTTGGGCAATCGCCTGGCCCCTAAGCCAGGAGCCTGGGGTGGACTTGGGAGTCCCAGATCCCTCAGCTGGCATCTCCTCCTGGGAAGGAAGGTCTTTCCTGCAGTCGGAGGAGGAGGGTGCTTCCTCCGCCCGGGTTGCGTTAGGGCGCTGGGATGCACTAGGGCGCAGGAGCTGGAGGGCCATCCTGGAAAGCGCCCACGTCCCTGGAGAGGGGGGGAGTGTCCGCTGGGTTTCTGCTTGCTTTCACCCGCGCGAGGTTCCCGGCACACCTGAAATCCCCAGCATTTCTTCTTCAGACTACTCCTGTGTCGGAGGGGAGGGGCAAAGGTTAGGGGGAGGCTAACTGATCACACCTCCTCCTTTCTCCCTGGATTCAATTACAGTCTGGTTTGGGTACAGCCCTAGAAGGCGGTTCTGAAATCAAAGGGCTGCGTTTACTGGTTCTCTCTTCTGGGGTGTTTGGTGTCAGCAACATTTCCAAATTAACGAAGGATATTTGTTTCTAATTAATAGTACACAATAGTTGAAACTCCTGCTCTCAAAGTGCAGGAGCAGCCTCAGGGCTTCCAGGGTTACCAGCCCTCCCTGCAAGCCCCAGGGAGGGCAGGGACTTCCCAGTGTCCCCAGTTGTGGATAGAGACTTGCCCTAGCCCGGGTGCCTCCTGCCAGGCTGAGAAAGGCCCTCTTGCCTCCTCTGGGACCCTGCTCTGGGTAACTGTGTTCAGCGCTCTGCCCTAGCACCAATCCGAGTTATGTTGGACTGAAGTATTGTGTATAAGCTCTTCTCCCGTCTTTACCTGGGTGAAAAATTGTGTGTGTGTGTGTTTTTCTGTAATTACAATGTAAGGAAATCTTCCTAGGATGGCTCAGCTGTATTTTGATGGGTTCAAGTTGAAATCACAATCACATGTATTAGTTCCTCACCTGCTATGAGGGATACACAGTGCTTTGAATCTCTTTCCTTTTCTTCTTGGTTTTATGCCCACTCCTTCCTTCTCCTGTTTCATCCTTTCCAAACCCTTTGGTTTTGGTGCTTTGGTGCAACCTCAGGGGTGAGAGTGTCTGTTTCCTACAAGCTCAAAATGATGTCAACAATGGCTGCTCCCCTCCCAGATTATCATGCCCTAAGAACTTTAAAGCATCATCTCATTTAATCTCCACAACAACCTCTTCTGGCATCATGAATTCCCCCTGGCATGGATGAAAACCCTGGAGCTTGTTAGATGACATGATTGTTGAGTAGCAAAGCCAGGGTTTGGACTCATGCTTGTTGGACCCCAGACTCTCAGCATGAAGGTTTATTGTTTTTGCATTTTCAGGAACCTTCTTAAATCTGTAGAGAGAGTCCCAGGATATGGTCAGTGATTTTATGTGTAGCAGCCCTGTACGTCTCTGCAGCTTACGGGGGCCTGGAAAGAATGCTGGGTCCATGCAGAGTAGAAGCCCTGGTCTGAATCCTTGTGCTGCCCCTTGCTGACAGTGTGACTTTAGACACAATTCTAAGCCTCACCTTGCCTCTGTTTTCTGAAAATGGAGATCATACTTAGACCTACCTTATGGCTTCATGTGAATGTTAAATGAGATCGCGTTCGTAGAGCTCAAGGGAAGTGCTCGCTACATACAGGTTGCTTCCTTTACTACTAAATCTATTCAAGGAACTTGCCTTTATTCTTACCAAGGAATTACATAAAGCAAGACCCTGGGCTACAACAAAAGTGTGGGTCATTTTCCTAATCTCTCTCTCTTACTGCCTTTTATTTTCTGACCATTTTATTTGGGAAAATTTCAAGCATACAGGAAAATTGCCACAAGCATCAATTTATGTCATTTTAGCCCCTGAAATTTTTGTGCTTCTCAGTCCTAAGCTGCAAACTATTAAAAGTCTGGCCAAAAGGCTTTCAAATCATCAAGGACTCTGAGACTTGTTTCTTGGCCCAATATGAGACCCCCAGTCTCTGATCTACTTTTGCATGGATCCCCAAATCTGTTTTCCCCCCCACTTTCCCCTATTCAAGTTTGAAATCTTCTTAAAGCACTAATCCAGGGTCCCACTTTGGAATCTTGAATCTGTTAAAGTGTGGGTCTCTGGACTCTTGTCTGCAACCAGACATAAATTTGATTCAAGTGCCATCTTTGGAAGACTCAATTCCCAGGGGATGATGAATCCCTTCCATCACATCTGGGAACCTCCATTTATTTATTAATGATGTGTGAAAACTAGTACTATTGATTCTGTGGCATAGCAATTGCTCAGCCAATGTGATGCCAGAGAATAGAAAAGCCCTCTTAAAAAGAAGTCATGCTTTGTCTGACTTCCTCACGTTTAAATATTTTATGCTGAACATTGAATACACATAAATTAAAAAGGATTGAAAAGAGAAGAAAGATTGCAGAACTGGTTGTTTTTAGTTAACGTTGTATTAACTGCTGCCTTTCATGTCAACTCTAGTTTTTAAAATAAGAGATACTCGATGTTCTATAGGATAGTAACAGAGAATGGGAGCTTTGAAGTCAGGCAAACTGAGTTCAAACCAGCTCTGTCCCTTGGTAGCTTTATCACTGTGGGAAGACTGTGAGGTTCTCCACCAGTTGTTTCATCTGTAAGATGGGATAATAATAGTAACGGGCACTTGGAAGATTGAATGAGACAATGCATGTAGCACATTTAGCACTGTGCATGGCACCCAGAGTGCTCAGTGAACAATAAATGAAGGTCATGATAAAAGATTCAAGTTCATCTGAAATATACAAGTGACAGGAGAAAGAGAACCATCATCACCACTTCCGTTTATTCATTGGGTGAACAGGTATCAGTGGACAGGTATCGAGTGCTTCAAAATGCCAGGCAGGACACGATTGGACAGCACCCAACTGCATTTTGCAGAGATTATTCTGAGGTTAACAGGCACAGCTTTTCATTGCTGCCATTTATTTGCAAATTCTGGGTATTGATTGTCTATACACTGCCTTCCTCGTGGGACTATGTGGGGAAAGGTTTTTGAACCCTGGGAAGCCATCTAGTATTTTCTTGTTTGAGACAGATTCTGAGACATTGCTCTCATCCACCTTTGACAGCACTTTCTGATTAGCAGTGAGTTTTTTTTTTTTTTTTTTCTAAACAGAGTTGGAAAATGTATAGTGACAATTCAGAGTGTTGAGATACATAAAAAGAAAGCTTTCATCCAAGTGTAATTAATTGAGGGAGACGAAAAGACAAGGTGTCTTTTGAAAACAACAACAGCAATAACAACTCAGGGCTTTTAAACGTTACAGTTATCTATGGTTGTGGTCATTTCTTCATCGATTGAATGCACCTTAAAGCATGATCAAGATTCTGGGGCAGGAGAAGTAGGGGAGAGGGTGGCCCAGTGGAGAGAGGATACTACAGGGGGAAATAACATCCTTATCAGTATTGAGGTAGAAATAAATGCACTGTGAGAAGGAGATTGAAATAGAGTGGAAAACCCAGGTGTCAATCTTTCCCTAAGCCCAGGGGGAGATGCCTGGTATTTAAAAGTCCAAGGACGTGTGCTGACTAGCAAGTAGATTATTAAGCTGGTCCATGTTTCAGACTTAATAAACAGTGTGATGACTGAAGTAATGTCAACGACTGGCGATCTACAGAAAAGATTCTTGGGGAAGGTTTTGTATTATTTTCATCTGTTGGATTAAATAGACTCATTTTATTATTTTGTTTTAGCATCCTTCCTTTTTTCTTATTATAAAAGTAACATATGTGGGCTGGGAGTGTAGCTCAGTGGTTGAACACTTGCCTGGCGTGCATGAAGCCCCAGGTTTAATCCTAGCACAGAAAAAAAAAAACCCAAAAATTACTATAAAATATTCAAACAAACAAAAACTACTATAAAAGATTCAGGTTCATCTGAAATATAAAAACACATGGTGAAAGATGACACTCATCACCACTCCCATGTATGCCTGGAGCAGATAGGTGTTGAGTGTCTTCAAAATGCCAGGTGGTGTTCCAGGGGCTGGGGACACTGGAGGCTCCAGGCCAGCAGCTCAGAGGAATGTGCTTGTGTTGGGCCTGAGGACTAAACAGAGTCTCAGAGGGCGGAGAGGGAAGAGAAGGGCATCTCAGGTGAGCTGCCAGCATGGGGCAGGCGGGTGGAGGTTCCAAAGGCCAGAGTCCACGTACTGGGGTTTTTTTTTGTTTTGTTTTGTTTTTTGCTTTGCTGTTTCTTTTCCTCTCGGCATAGAGAGATCTGGGTCTGTTGGCTTTTGCAGGAGTGTCTGGTGAACCACCGGCTGGCTCCCTGGATGAGCACGAGGGTTGGAGGCCAGTACAGATAGAGGCTCTCCTTTGGTGTAGCCTCTCAGAGCACCTCTCAAGAGGTCCCCCGAAGAGGCCCAGCATCCGATCCATTCATTCCTTCGCTGCACGCTTGCTGAACAGCCTCGAGCATTGCTATGTGCTAGCTTCAGGGGTCCAGAGCCAGAGAAGGCCCAGAACCCACCCTCAGGAGTCTTTGATTGTGTTCCAGCCCACCCTCTGCTGCTGCCCAGCACTGTGATCTTGGGCGATTGGCCTAACATCCATAAACCTCAGTGACCTCATCTGTAAAATGAGTAAAATGAGGATGGCAAAGCATGACTTATGGGGCCCTGAATAGCACTGAGGCTGACGGTGTTAAGGTTCAGCTCAGTTTAGCTGTTAACATTTGTTAAGAAAGGCCTCCTGGACTGGGTGGAAGGAGCAGGTGATCAAAGTCTGAGTGAGAGGTGGCCCTGTCATTGAAGAGCAGTGTCTCCCTAGGTTCTCTAAATCC